TTACACATAAATTCAAATTTTTTTCCTACTTTTCAACCACACATTTGTCAAAAATCATTATTACAAAACTCATTTTTCACAAAAATATGGCTCAAATAGAGCGTCAAACACAATGCACTTCTAATTGTCGTGAGACACTAATATATCTTCACTCAAAATCAAGAAACAACTCATATAGCCCATGTTTGGTGTGACTTAAAATTTAAAAGCTAATAATTAATTTTAACATAATATTTTATGGGATTCACGATTTTTCAACCACATAGTCCATCTACTTTTATCTAAATATACTAAAATTTTATTTTATTTTCTAAATCAAATAGGGGCTATAATTTTTTCGAGTTAGGAATTACTTGATTAGGTGTTCGATACAAGTTTGCAATCGTTTAAGAAGTGGTGTCCCAACGTGAGTCAAATTATAAAGATCCATTCCAATTAGGATCAATCATTACCAAAATAATTACATAATAATCAAAATCCAGATTTATAGCCCTAATCCAATCAATAATACCTTAATAATTCAGAATTATGTCTCTCTCTCTCTCTCTCTCTCTCTCTCTCTCTCTCTTCAGTATATATAATATTACTACTATTACACCCAGACAAACTTCTATTTTTCCTTTGATGGCCCGTAAAATACGTACCTCCTTTCTATACGTTGTTGCAGCCATTGTCTTTTGCGCTACTCTTTACTACCACTTCCTCTGGAACGCCATCTTCGCTTCCTCTGCCACCGCCGTCGTCCAGACCACCGCCATATCTTCCATCATCAATAATGCAGTTGATGAAAACATCACCTCCCCTCGCCTAGCTCCTCAAGTCAACAATCCATGGACAATCTCCACCACATCGATTCTTATCCCCGACTGGGAGGTACTGGTTATTGTTTCGCCGGAAGACACCCCATTGCTGACGTCAAATTCGGGCGACTATGTTTGTTTGTATGAGAACAACGAGGTTTCGCCGGCTGTACCTGCTGTCGTCCTTCCTTTTCCGGACCGGGCGACGTTTAAATGCTTGTTTCCGAAAAGGTCTCGCCGGGTACATCCGTTTAAACAGCCAATTTTCATGAAATCCACTGAAACTCCGCCAGGGACGACTTCTCCGTTGACGGAGCTTCTCCGTTGGACCCATATAGTGTACGATTCGTTGACAACGGACGAAGACATAGTTTTGTTTGTGAAGGGCGTCAATAATCGTCAAGGAATCAATCGGGAGCCGAGCGAATTCCGTTGCATATTCGGCGACGACCAAATTAACGCCGTCAGAACAGCCGTTACTACTTCTATGCAAGAAGTGTTCCGCTGTCAACGCCCAGAACTCCCAGAACTAACAGCAGTTAATTCAGTTGACAAGGATATTGATCAACAGAGAATCAAAGTCTCCCTCGAAATAGTTGAAGGAAATAGGGTTGTCCCCTCCGTGGCGTACTACACCAACACGCGCAAGTTAGACGCGGGAAAGCGAAAATCGCTATTGTGCGCTAGTACAATGGTGTACAACGTTGGCAAGTTCTTGAAAGAGTGGGTGTTCTACTATTCAAGAATTGGAGTTGAAAAATTCTTGCTTTATGACAATGGAAGTGATGATGATCTGGGAAAAGTTGTTGAAGAACTTGTTCAAGAGGGTTTCGATGTGAACACTTATTCTTGGCTATGGCCAAAAACTCAAGAGGCTGGTTTTTCACACAGTGCAATTTATGCTAAAGATTTTTGTACATGGATGATGTTCATGGATGTGGATGAATTTGTGTACTCCCGATCATGGAAAAATTCATTAGAGCCATCAAAATCCATGTTACATTCTTTAATTTTGTCCAAATCGAGTGAATTTTCATCTTCAATGAAGCTATCGTTGCCGGTATCAGAAATAGGACAACTTATAATTGAATGTCTTGAATTTGGGCCATCAAATCAAAGTACTCATCCAATTATGGGAGTGACACAAGGGTACAATTGTAGGCGAAAACATGAGAATCGGCATAAGTCTATATTATTATTAGAAGCTGTTGATGATTCTTTGCTTAATGTGATACACCATTTTACTTTGAAGCCAGGGTACAGATCAAGAAAATTGAATTCAAAGAATATTGTGGTGAATCACTACAAGTATCAAGCTTGGCCAGACTTTAAGGCCAAGTTTAGGCGGCGCGTGTCGACATATGTTTTGGATTGGACGCAGCCAATAAATCCTAATTCAAATGATCGGACGCCTGGATTAGGATTTGCACCTGTTGAGCCTCAAGGTTGGCCTCAAAAGTTCTGCGAGGTACATGATAACGGACTAAAGAACTTGACAAGAAGATGGTTCCGGGTCGAGTCCTCCTCCGGTGATCACCAAATGTCTTGGCAAAGATGATTAAGGTGTCTTCACTAGAAACTTTTAGGATTTTCGTTGAACCCTGATCTTATTTCATTAGCATTTAGCACTGTTTCATTGGTCTGAGGTTGCTTGAGGGGGATGCGGAGAACTATCAGGTATTGAAGTGTTAAAGATTCAAGAAAAGAATATATACACATATATGCATACAATTTCAGTCAGCGACAAGTAGGGAACAATTTTTAGGTCATTCCTTTTTGTTGTATCTTTCTTTTTACTCTTTTTTAGGACAATTTTTCTAGGATTTAGACTTAGGAAAGAATGAAAGTCATCTTGTAACTTAATTTTCTTGCAACATTCTCTTCGTCAAAATTGCAAAAATTCCTTATTTAATTTGTTTAAATTCCATCAATAAAAATTTATTGAGAATAAGTATTAATTTGTTGTTTAAGAGAATTTTTATATTTTTCGTCAGTTACTAACCGGACCTTCGTCCACCAGATTTCCAATAGTAAGTTTCAGCCCTTGATTGATATAGATTAAAATTAGATTTTTAGTAGATATTGATAAAACTTGATGAAATGTGTGGTTGAAAAGTTGTGGGTTCAATGAAATGTGTGGTTAAAATTAATTATTGACTTTGATTTAAGATTTTAATTGAATTTTAACCTAACAAGGGTTCAATTGATTGACGGATTTTTGGACACGAGTGACAGATTGTCGTTTATTTTTTTTTTCCCTTTTTTTAGTGATCGCATTTTAGTGCTTGACTAGTTCATGGCTTGGTTGGTGGTGGAAATTCTTAAACACAGCCTGGCTTTATCATGAATAATTAGTTTAAAAAAGAATTCCTTTTTAATTGAATCCCATTTGACATGACTTTTGTTTCCCGTAGAAGAATTTTTGGAAAAAGTTACATTGATTTTATTTTTGTTAAAAACTAATTTTAAAAGTACTTCCTATTTCAGAGGTGCTTTTAGAAGAAGTCACATTTGACTAATTTTCTCTAAAAGTTTTTCTAACTGCCTGAAAAACTTTCATTAGCCAAACGAGTTCCAAAACAGTTTTTAGGTCTCAAAAGCTTATTTTAACTTTTCAAAGTCATGTCAAACAGGCAAGATTGGTTGACAAACCGTGAAACAAGCAATTCATTTTGATTAATTAATATTTTCATCAAGAATTTTTAACGTAGTCAACAATGAGATCTAGACTTAGCTAAAATGATTAAAAAAAAGAAAGAAACTTTACCAGTTTAATGACCTGGATTAGAGTCTTGTTTTGGATGGATAAAATTCCAAAATAAGAAGAAAAATAAAACATATAGTCGACAATACTACACCTCTTTTCCTTAATTTTCCTTAAGAAAAACGTCCACGTTGATGATGCATATGATTTGTATAAGATTTTAGTGTTGTCTCTAATAACAATTTTATCACAAAATTAAATTTTGTTTAAGTGACACTAAATTTATAAGCATTAATGTTCCGTTAGTTATCCAATGGTGCAATGATTGTATTTTTATGTACAACACGGTACCTACAACGTTAAAAATTGCATGCCAATAGCAAGATTTTTATTTTAAAACTGCCTAGCAACAAACAAGATGAAGCGTACATGAAAGGAAATGTGTACGTCATCTAAGAAAAGATGTTGAATTTTGCAACAGAACTGTTTTTTGCGATCAAATTATTGAAAAGAAATCAATACTTTCAATAAGCATTGTCAGAATGCGAAGCTGGTTTGAGCCCGGCTCCCTTTCTCCCAAAAAAAAAGACTACGTTGGTCCAGTCAGGTTCTCAACATTTTCTACCACGTCAATATGTGCCTCATTTTGGAATGCTCGAATACTTATTTTGACACTTCTAAATTAAATGATCTTTTTCAAAGACTTTAAGATCAATAAAAATTCACAATACAAGTTAGTTTTTGACCAATATATATATAGAAAATTCAATAGCAAAAAAGATCGTGTACCCCAAGAAACATTTTGGAAGTAAAAATAGAGGAATTAAATAGCACCGTGGGGCATGGCTTTACAGCTAGGGACGCTAGACTTTTGTTACTTAGAATATTTTCTATCCTTTCGTTGCACACAAAGTTAAAATCCATCCTCTAACTTTGTGCTATATTGTACAATGAATAATATATTACTTTCTACAAGTCGATTTCTATACTTTGATTGCTTGGAAAGTCAGTGAACAACTTTTATTCAATTTCTTACCCTTTTGAATTATATTGAAGTGTCTTTTTTTTCATTTCAAAATAATAACGTTTTCGATCATTTTTAAAATGGGCTCGTTTTGAAGTCTTATCTACATATATGTGATTACAATATATATCTCCATAACTATGATCACATAAGTTTATACACACAGATTTGAATTCTCTTCCTTTATGTCACATTGCAATGCCACTACAATAAAGAAAAAAAGTTTAACGTAATCTTGAAATAAAGGAATAGAGAAATAAAAAAGAAAATGAAAAGGACTAAAAGATGCTATAGATAGCAAGGGGGTCTTTCATTGTATTTAAAAGTTTGTGAGGTGGGGAAGACGGGTTATATGGTCACTGATAAGAAGATTATGGTACGGAGAAATCAAAATTCAAGGTCAAATTTGAATAGTCTTTGAATTTGATTTTAATTTGTCACATTACATTAATGTTGCCTTATTATGGAGAGGCAATCAAGGAAACAAGATAACAAATTATGAAAATATTTCAATTATCGTCAACCAATATTCCCCAAATCACGCCATAATATTTTCTCCAATATTAGTAAATATTCTTCAAATATCTTCAAGTATCTCTCTTCTTCAGCGGTCAACCATAACAATTAGTACAAAGTTTAACCATAAGCTTGTGAATTCATTGTTTCTGACATAAATAAGAAAAATATTAGTCATAAATCATTATTTTCCAAACCGAAATTATCGTCACGTGGCGGTATGTCGATTGGCCATTAAGGATTTCTTTAGCTAATAAAAGGGAAATTTACATAAATACACTATTATGGGATTGAAAAATGAAAGTACTGACTTCTTCAAATAAAGGAAAATACCTCACAACCATCAATTTAAATGTAAAATACTTCAAATGAGTGGAACCGACTTTTTGGGGGGAAGGTTTTATTTCAAATAATCAACTCGACCATTTATTTTTAAGTATGACACCAAAAGTCTGCTCAACGTCTAATTCAAAATTAAAAATCCTTGTAAAAATTCTCCATCATAAAACCGATGAGTATTCCGTGACAATATCTATCAATAATTCCAATGTTTCAATAATAATGTCAAGAAAAAAGACGTAATTAAAAATGTTATGAAACCAACCACTAGATTAAGATGTTAAAGTTATATGGCAAATAATGAAATATTATATCAAGCAAAAGAATACAAAGACAAGAAATATGGAAGAGGAATTAAGAGATTTTATTGACTCAAAAATACTGGAGAAGAAAGAAAATTACAATGGATCATATAATTCTAATAATCTATTTTTTCACACATATAAAATTGTATAGAAGAGCCTAATTTTTATAGGAAACATGTAGTGGACGTTCAAACCCTTTTAGTAGAGTTGTTGATGAAGTATAATGCCAAAAAATGAAATTCAAAACGAAATAGGAGAAGAAAACGCGGCAAAACGGAACAGAACAGGTGGTACCGCAGTGCCCACCTCCAAGTGCCAGGCGCCGCTGGGCAATCTGCCTGAAAAATAAATATATTTGTTTTTGTTCCAAGTAATTTTCTCCATCCCGAACTATTTTTCAAATCCAATACCAATTTTCAACTCCTAATAGGCTTCTAAAATAGAACTTCAACTGGACATAAGACTCCAATATCATTCCAAACTTAAATTCTCCTTAACGTGCACTTAATTAGAATTCTTCAATATTTCAAACACTTCAACAAATGAATTCGGGTCACACCCAAATTCCAACAATCTCCACCTTGATATGAATTTCGCCAAGGAATGAAACGGTTTCTTCAACAATAACCTAAAAAATTAATTTCTCCAACAAAATACAATACATCTTCCAATGAACTCAAGCACTACTCTTGTAGAATTAACTGTAATTCTCAAAAACATAATGATTTTATAATTTATCAAAATGGGCTGCCCCCAAAGCAGAATCAAACACAAATGCTTTTAAAGAAGACTCATTGCTAGATTGTACACCTCCAACTCTACTTAAAGCATGCTCAACAAAATCAACATCCACATATCATTTTCCACTAGGTCCATTCCTAACAATTGAATACATTGGCACCGCGGGTGATGGTGGTAAAACGGCATTATCCATATTTTCTGAACTCAACTGAGCAGTATTTTTCAAATCCGACCATTTACAAACTCCTAAAGGTATTGTACCAAACTGAATGTCCACCACGGTAGTGAACTTGTGCTGATTGACTCTTCCAGATTTTGCATGACCTTGCAAGATGTATAATTGAGACATTTTAAGTCTCTCCAATAAAATTAGGGCACTCTTACAAATTTTCAAAACTCCACATCCACCAAAGAACTCATAACCCTTTAAATCAAGGATGGAAAATGAGATGAGATTCTTCTTCAAATCCGAAACATGTTGAACGTGGCTAAGTGCTCTAATTGTTCCACCCAAAAGCTTAAATGTGACCATACCAATTCCAACAACCCCATAACTTCGATACATTTGGAAACAGTTTCATATGTAGTAAACAAGTCATTATTATGACACATATGAAACACACGCTGAATCAAGAATCTA